AAGGTCAAAAGTCCGAGTGGGACTGCGCGCGCCCCCGCCTTGCAGACCAGCTCTCGCGGCCTCCCCTCGGGGAGCTGACGGTCTAGACCGGAGTCAGTCAGCGCCGGAGTCGGTCTGAGCTCAGAGCCTCGGGCACAGCTGGTTCAGGGAGACCAGGCCGGGCCGAGGATGCAGGTGGAAGGCGGCCGCACTGCACGCCACCCGGGAAGATGGGAGCCGCTCCTCCCCAGGCCGGTCATGGAAGGGATGCGATGGAGGCGCACAGGCAGGGCTCCGTGCTCTGTGGGCTTGCAGAGTCCGTGGACGGGAGGAGAAAACATCCCCATTTTCTTGCAGGACACCGTGTGTTTTCATTTTATGCACGCATCACGCTTTGCAATGATCTGTTTACTGGGAGAACTAGAGCAAGGTTGTCTGCAGAGTGAACTCAGGTCAGACTGCCTTGCTCTGACTTCGGGCAACTCGCTGACTTCTGACCAGCTCTGCGATGTAGGGCAAGTCACGCAATCGTTCCCAACTTCAAGTACATTCTCTGAAAACCGGGAGGAATAATAGAATCCACCTCACAGCGTTGCGAGTGTTAAAGGGACTAAGGCACATAAAGCACTTAGAATAGTACCTGGCACTTAATTAGAACAGTGTCAGCTGTAATTATTTGTTTAGTATTTGCCTCCCCACTAAATTGTAGGCTCGGGTAGGCAGGGTCTCTGCCTCCCTTGTTCACCAGTGTGTGTATACCCAGCCCAAGACCTCTGTAAATATTTGTGGAATGAACTCCCTGGGGCCCTGGCAGAGGCAGCTACCATCCCTTCCTCTGTCCCCACTGTCAGAATATGGTAGGACCCAGGCACATAACTGTCTCAGCGGTTCTCAACCTGTGGGTCGCAACCCCTTTGGCGGTTGAACGGCCCTTTCACAGGGGTCGCCTAAGACCATCCTGCATATCAGATATTTACATGACGATTCATAACAGTAGCAACATTACAGTTATGAAGTAGCAATGAAAATAATGTTATAGTTGGGTCACAACATGAGGAACTGTATTTAAAGGGCCAGAAGGTTGAGAACCACTGGTCTAGGTAGAGGGGAAACTGGCTGGGCAGGTTCCTGACCTGCCTGGACCTTTATACCCCAAGTCAGGGACCAGCCCCAACTGGGCCGGCAGAGCTCAGCCAACTGCTGCAGCTCAGTCTTGATTACAGCAGGGCGCCCACTGGGAGTCAGGCCTCCATTGTCAGCAGGCTGGCTGGCCTGCAGAAGGCAGCTGGGAGGCTGAGAGTCCTCCCAGCCTCCTAGGCTACCTCCCTGAGCGGGTGGGTGGAGCAAAGCTCCCCAGGAGGGCTCCTGTCCTTACCCAACAGTCCTGGGAGCTAGTACGAAAACCCAGCCTGCCCAGTGGGGAGGATGAAGCAAACAGGAGAGGGAAACTTTAGCAGATTGCCTGGGAGGAGGGCAGAGAGGACCAAGAAGGAAAGGGTTGAGGTGGCAGCACACCATGCCCCACCCCTCCCCAGGCAACAGGAAGTAAGGCGCTGGGGAGTAAGGCCACTTCCTCTCCTGAACCCGGGTGAGAGCCTGGTTTCAAGTCCCAGCGCGGGGCAGTGAGAGCGTACACCTGGGAATGACAGTCAGTCATGAGTTCCTGTCGTTGACGGGAACGGCAGCGTGCACCCCGAAGCAGGGGCTGCCTGTTGGTTAATCATCAATGTGCCTTTCCCAGGCCTGACCTCCAGATGCTGAAACTTTATATTCATTATCACCAGGTGGAGTGAAAAGACAGGGAGGTCAGCACAAGCACAAACACAGACTCAGGGCTGCCCTGGAGTCCCCGAGGGAACCCTGGGCGGGAACCGTCAAACAGGACGGCATCCCTGACCTTCCCCACGCGCCCGCTGTGCGAGGGGATAGCCATGTTAGGTGTTTTAGAGGAACCATATAAAGCGCTTCGCATCGAGTTTCTGGGTAACAGTAAGAGAGGTGAGAAAAATATTGGGGTGGAGCCTCGGGGATGCCTCACAGTCATGAGTAAGGAGACCCAGCCTCCTTTCTTTTTTCTTTTTTTTAATATATTTTATTGATTTGTTACTGAGAGGAAAGGAGAGGGATAGAGAGTTAGAAACATCAATGAGAGAGAAACATTGATCAGCTGCCTCCTGCACATCTCCTACTGGGGATGTGCCTGCAACCAAGGTACATGCCCTTGACTGGAATCGAACTTGGGACCTTTCAGTCCGCAGGCTGACGCTCTAGCCACCGAGCCAAACCAGCCAGGGCCCAGCCTCCTTTCAACACAATTTATCAACTGCCTACTATGTGCTTGGCACTGCCTCTTTGTGAAACCTCCACATAAAGTGGACAATTAGAATTGACACAGTTAGAAGGAAACTCAAATCATTCTCTCCTTTTCCCTTCCCAGGTCTCCCTCCCTCCTCTCTCCCCCCCCCTCTCACTACCTCTCTCAATAGCTCAGACTCCGATGTGGCCGCAGTGGCAATTTACACACAAACACACACCCTCCTTGATCCCCATTGCTACAGCACCCACACAACCTCCAGCTACCCCACAGCAATTAGAGGGAAGATACATTTAAATAATGACGAGTTCACTGGCTCCCTGCGCCTCAGTATCTATGGCAACCTCCTGGGGTCCGGGAGCTGCGCTGTTCCGGTTGCAGCCAGTCCCCTGGGCAGCACCAGCACTCAGGCCGCGCCGCAGCGCTGAGCCGGAGCTGGGAATTACACAGGAAATAGGTGCCCTGATGATCACTGGAGGGCCCACTGGGTGGGACCCTCCGTCATTCTGCCGATCTTTCTCCCTGAAGGCTCAGAAAATTACACCCCGGGACTGCCCTGAATGCGAGGAGCTTCCCTCCCTAATTCTGGAATGCAGTTTTAGAGAATGAAAGTACTTATTTCTCAAACATAAGGAAAATGAGCAGTTGGAAATGAGGTGCTTCCATGCAAGGGGGCTGACACTCTTGGAAACAGAGAATAGTTACCTGCTTGTTAGGGGATGTTGTAAAATAAATTTGAAGAGAATTCAGTTTTGTGCCCATGAAGGGTTTTCTAAGCCACAGCACACAGCACCCTACAACTGCCCTAGCAGTTGCTCAGCATATATTGGGGTTCCACATAAGATTTTGTTAAGAGTCCCTGACTTAAAAAAAAAAAAAAGTCCCTGAGAGAAGTGTGAAACTCATCGGACCAGTGGCTTCTGAGGTGCCCTCCAACTTTAAGATTCTATGACTAATTTTGGAGAATTAGGGATGATGAGGTCCTGGCCTCTCTCCAAGGACTCTGAGAAAATCATTTGTGGTGAGACATTGGAAACGAGTGAGAAATGTTATGACGGGGATAGGAAAGAGAAGGAGATCGGCCGGCGTGGGTCAGCGGTTGAACATCGACCCATGAGCCAGGTCACGGTTTGATTCCCAGTCAGGGCACATGCCTGGGTTTCCGGCTCAATCCACAGGAGGCAGCCGATCCGTGGTTCTCTCTCATCAGTGATGTTTCTCTCTCTCTCTCCCTCTCCCTTCCTCTCTGAAATCAATAAAAATATACATATTAAAAAAAGAGAGAGAAGGAAAGACAAATGAAAAAAATTTAAATAAGCAACTCCCAAACTTAGGAGGGGGTGAGAGACGCCCTTCTCTCTCCTGGAAGGCACATCAAATCACAACCACGGAAAAGGCCATATGACCCATCCCCAGGGGGACCTACTCCCCACCCAGACACGTGGTCCCACGCCTCCCGTGTCAAGGACCTGAGAAAAAGGATTAAGAACCGAAGATTAAATCAATGGCTGCTGTATTTCTTAAAAGAGAAGCTGAGATATGATG